GAGATGACACAGTCATATAAATCCCGGTGTCTGTGCAGTTTTTGGTTGTGTTTGCAAATGTCTGGCCCCTGCTGCAGCCTCTCACCTTATGACTTGGTAAGTTACAAATTTGCAGTTGATTACTGGGGGAAGGGGAGAATGAGGAAATGCTTTCTCCTGCCTGCAGCAGACTGATCACTGAGGAGAGGGGAGACTGAGGAAATGCCTCTTCCTGCCTGCAGCAGATGGGTCACTGGGGGAGGGGCGACTGAGGAAATGCTTCTTCCACCCTGCAGCAGACTGATGACATCATCCCAGCCTAGGCAAAGTCTCTAGACTGGAACTCAATGATGGCTTTTTAATGAAAGGTCTAGAGATGTTCTTTAGATATTATACAGTTATTGTATTTGTGACATGTCAGGATGTTTATAGTTTCTGAAAGGTCCACTTTAAACAGAACTGGTGACAACTGGGAATCTGCAACTATCTGGAGTTCCACTGGAGCAGTGGTCCATCACCGACACACACTGGGGCCGACTGTATCCCAGGGGGGAGACTCTGCATTGGGTCCGAATGGCAAGGGCATGAAAAAGCGTCAGACCTCAAGTCATTATTTTGACTCCAGCCAGCTTGATTCGCCCTTTGTGGTGGAGGAGGAGAACATGTTGGAGGAATGTTGATGCATCCATTTGATAAATCACTCTGTATTAGTGAGAACACACATCCTGTTTGAATGAGAACACCACCTTGATATACACAACAGAGAGAGACACATCAAGAACGCACAGCTGATTTAGGAACGTCGGCGCTCAACAACAAGACCGACAAAAAAAAGGAACATCAAAGTGAAGAGACGGTATAAACAAAGCAGGCAAACATATGGCAAAGCGGCTACATTAGGTTTAATCAATCATTGTAACTCTCAAAGGGAGAATAAAAGAGGAAGCTGGGGATGTGCCAAAATCTAAATTGGCTAAAAGAAACAATTAGGTGTCAGAGAGCTTGTCGAAAGAGATAGATTTTTATTTGTGACCCGGAGATAAATTCTGCATTGTTACTGAAACAAAGTGGGGATGTGTAAATGAATTACCAGCTCGTAGCCCGGCGGGAGTTCACCGGTGCTCCAATGGAGATTTAAGGGGCGAGTACACCCAAAGCTGACATTTTGGTTTTGAGTGGATGTCGCAAAGTTCAATCTCCCATGGTGCGATATGGTGGGAAGTTGGCTACACCTACCTACAAGCCTTATTCTTCCTTCTGGATATCATTCATATACAGTATATGTATGACCCCCTAAGGAGCTGCTGAGTTTAAAAGGATCACCTGGCCTTTCTATGCTGCCCTTAACCACTTACCGACCCACTAGTGGCGACCAAATCCACTCTGTCCACGGGAGAGAGGGTAGGGGGTTACAGGATACTCAAAATTTAGCAGCAACAAGTTTCCTCTGCTTGGAAATAACTTCAGCCCCTCTTATAGGTTGGTAGTGTGCCTTTAACTTGGGCCGACAATCTTCTATTGTGTGCCTTTAGGCCACGACCAGCAATGGACTGAGCAGTGTTTTATTCCTGAAGATGCTCCCCTTTAACAGCCACTTTCCTGTGATTCAGGCCCTAGCAGAGGCCCATTCCCAATTCTTACTACTTGGCTCTGGAACTGTTCCCTCTATAGGCAGCAGGCCTGGGAGATTATGGGAGGATCTCCTGCTCTGATATCCTCTACAGGCAAAGCCAGGGAGGTGAAGGGCCACTGTACTCTTCTCAACCTCTCCCTGCAGCAGGCTTGAGAGGCTATGGCAGAATCTCCTGCGCTGGCATCATTTAAAGGCAAAGAGTGGGAGGTGAAGAACCACTGTACTATTTTCACCCTCACCAGGCAGCAGGTCTGGGAGGTTATGGCAGGATTTCCTGTGCTGGCATCCTCTACAGGCAAAGCCTTGGAGGCAAAGAGCCACTGTACTCTTCTCACCCTGTAGAAGCAGCAGGTCTGGGAGATCATGACAGGATTTCCTGTGCTGGCATCCTTTACAGGCAAAGCCTTGGAGGAGAAGTGCCACTGTACTTCTCTCAACCTCCCCAGGCAGCAGGTCTGGCAGGATCTCCTGCACTTGCATCATCTACAGGAAAAGGGCCACTGTACTCTTCTCACCCTCCCCAGACAGCAGGTCTGGCAGGATCTCCTATACTGGCATCATCTACAGGAAAAGGGCCACTGTACTCTTCTCACCCTCCCCAGGCAGCAGGTCTGGCAGGATCTCCTGCACTTGCATCATCTACAGGAAAAGGGCCACTGTACTCTTCTCACCCTCCCCAGACAGCAGGTCTGGCAGGATCTCCTATACTGGCATCATCTACAGGAAAAGGGCCACTGTACTCATCTCACCCTCCCCAGGCAGCAGGTCTAATGGGCTATGGGAGGATCTCCTACATTGGCATCATCTCCAGCCAAAGACCCTTCTAGAAGCTCTCCCTGAATATGTATCTCCTTTGTCAGCCACATCATTGGCAATAAGTCTTCTAGTGAAATACATATTCATAATCCATAACATTGTATCTGCTTGCTTTATGAGCTGGAGAACACACCCAAGGAGCAGGCAGAAAACCCCCCCCTGCCCTGTGTTTTCCCCCCCCCCCCCCTCTCTCTTGTGCCGCTGTCGGGCTCTCAGGTTCTTGTCCTGTAACCGTAACTGTCCAGGGAGTTTTGTTTTTGCTTCCGATAGGCTCTGACCCTCCATTTCCTCATTCTGCACTTCTCGGAGTTCTCCTTTAGTCACCGTCAGACAGGTTCACAGATGAGGGACGCGTGCCCGTGCAAGCCGCAGTAATAATAGCCGAGCGTGATTAAGCCGACATGTGCTAATTGGAAATATGTAAAATCACGTCTCAGTGTCACCTCGAAAATCCGAATCAATGAAAACCGAGTCAATTTAATTACTTTTCACAAACGTAAAGAGTGTCAACGCCTTCTCCTCCATGACTACCGTCATCTGCTGCGTGTCAGCAAACGGGAAGGAGGGATCAACCAGTCCATGTCCAGGATCAGCCAAACTCACCGTCAGCTACATCGGCATTCACATCCGCAGTGCATTCTATATCTGTGGGCTTTGTATCTTTTTTATGATTAAGAATCTAAAGATGAGATACATACAATATATTACCAAACGTATTGGGACGCCGCCCTTTACACGCACATGAACTGTAAAGGAGAACTATGAGGGGGAGGGGCTTTTCACTCACCTCATAGTTCTAGCCGACCTGTGACAATGAGACTGTCACAGGTCGGCTCAGTAGATTGGGAGGTGAGCGAACACATACCGGCGTTCCCTCACCTCTCGATCCCGTGACAGGGGAGGGGCTGGATTCCCCCCTCCCCGCTCCGATCTGCCAGCGCTGACTGGCGGAACGGACGGGGGAGGGGCTGGTACAGCTGGCTCTGCCTCTAGATAGGCAGAGCCAGCTGTCACTCACGCAGCTGGGCGGATCCCGGCATAATCCGCTTCAGCTGCGGCGTTTCTGTGTACCGCGAGCTGTACCTCGCGCTATACTGAGCTTAGGGTGACGGGAGGACGCTAGTTTGTGTCCTCCCGTTACCCTAAGGAGAACTATGGGGAAAAGCCTTAACCCCCTAGTTCTCCGTTAATGGCATCCCAGTCTTAGTCCGTAGGGTTCAGTATTGGGTTGGCTCCGCCCTTTGCCGCTATAACAGCTCCGCCTCTTCTGGGAAGGCGTCCGCAAGGTTTAGGAGTGTGTCTATGGGAATGTTGGACCATTTGTGAGGTCAGGTACTGATGTTGGGGGAGGGGCTTGACCGAACCCATGCCGGCGTTCCCTCCCCTCTCGATCCCGTGACAGGGGAGGGGCTGGATTCCCCCCTCCCCGCTCCGATCTGCCAGCGCTGACTGGCGGAACGGACGGGGGAGGGGCTGGTACAGCTGGCTCTGCCTCTAGATAGGCAGAGCCAGCTGTCACTCACGCAGCTGGGCGGATCCCGGCATAATCCGCTTCAGCTGCGGCGTTTCTGTGTACCGCGAGCTGTACCTCGCGCTATACTGAGCTTAGGGTGACGGGAGGACGCTAGTTTGTGTCCTCCCGTTACCCTAAGGAGAACTATGGGGAAAAGCCTTAACCCCCTAGTTCTCCGTTAATGGCATCCCAGTCTTAGTCCGTAGGGTTCAGTATTGGGTTGGCTCCGCCCTTTGCCGCTATAACAGCTCCGCCTCTTCTGGGAAGGCGTCCGCAAGGTTTAGGAGTGTGTCTATGGGAATGTTGGACCATTTGTGAGGTCAGGTACTGATGTTGGGGGAGGGGCTTGCAGTCTCCGCTCGAATTCATCCCAAAGGTGTTCTATGGGGTTGAGGTCAGCGTTATATCAAGAAATAAAAAAAAAAAGAGAAATATATAAAGTGTGCTATCTCTGTTTTATCCTATTAAATGTCATTTTTTTACCCGTATCTTCATATATTG